GCATCGTTGCCAGTGCTGCTGAGCTCGCCACGATGTCCAAACAGGAAATGAGATTCAAACTGGCTAGACAGGAAAAGGAATTCAAATTTTCCCGGGGCTTTTCCTGTGTGTCTGGTCAGAGCATCCGAGCTCGGACTGCTGTCCAGAGCGTCAACAGAGTGGTGCACTGTGGGATAGCTCCAGGAGCTATTAGCGTCGATTTCCATCCACACCTACCCTAATTCGACATGGCCATGTCGAATTTAGCGCTACTCCCCTCGTTGGGGAGGAGTACAGAAGTCGAATTTAGGAGACCTCTATGTCGAACTAAATAGCTTTGTTGTGTGGACGGGTGCAAAGTTAATTCGATTTAGCGCTGCTAAATTCGACATAACCTGCTAGTGTAGACCAGGCCTCAGATGTCAAACACTTATGTCTCCAAGGGGCATTCATGCAGGCCCACAGCTTTTGTAAAGATTCTGGTAGCTTGGTACCGGGGCTGCCAAGTCCACACTTGCACATGGGCAGAGGTGACTCTTGAAGAACAGTTACCAGTTAGTAATCTCTCTCTGATAAGGAATTCCCAACACTGACTCACCCTGTTTAGGAACTCTGCTGTGAGATGCTATTTGAGTTCTGCTGATTCACTGGGACAAGTGTAGCTCATTGAGTCCACTCTGGAGAGTTGCTCTCAGGACAGAAGCAACTGGAGTTTAGTATACTGAGATCGGTGTAGAGACCTTAGAAATAGCCAATCTTAGGTATAATGCTTAGGCTGAGGTTTACGTATTTGTTGGCATCTGAGTTAATGATAAATCTACTCCAGGAAGGTTACAAAAGTTACTCTAGGAAGATGACTTCAATGGAACTATATTGATTTACACCAGTGTCAGATCTGACCCAACAAGAGTAGATTCTTTTTAGAGCAAGGTGGAAATTCTATCAGCTTACACTGCCCATCCAAAGTGTTGCACCTTTGAGGGTCCATACCTATATGAGAAGTTCATGCATTAGAGCTTCACACCAACATTACTTGATTTCTCCAGGTATAGGTCCTACACATCTGTGTACTAGAGGTAAGTTGTATGCAACATAGTTATAGCAGTGTAGGTCCCAGGTTATTCAAGAGACAACATGGGTGAGGTAATATCTTTTATTGGATCAATTTCTGTGGGTAAGAGACACAAACTTTGTCTCTTTCACGCACAGAAGTTGGTCCAATAAAAGATATTACCGCACCCATCTTGTGTCTACTAGAGACAAGGGCAGTCCTGAATATACTGATGTCCCTCTTAGTCTTTGTATTTGAAAACATGTCTAGATTCCAGTAGACCATTAAGCAATCTGCCTCTAGGCATCCCTCCTCGCTTGTTGCAAAATAGAAGAAAAACATGATCCCAGGCAGAACAAAATCTTCTGTAGGGTCTCTGGATCAGGGAGAAGTGTTCAGTTCTCCCTGTGGTAGAGGAAATCAGTGGTAAACCTTTTTGTTACTTGTCTGAACAATGAATTACCTGTGTTCTGCTGATACCCAGAGAAGGCGTGAGTAACAGTAGGGAGAAATTAGTATTGGGGAAATTAAGTTTACCATATATACTCGTTCATTAGCCCATTCGTTTATACATCGACCCCCCCAAGATGGCTAGGTAAAAATAGCAAAAACTGTATGACCCTTTAATAAGCCGACCCTATATTTCAGGGGTTGGCAAACTTTGGCTCCTGGCCCGTTAGGGCAAGCCACTAGCAAGCCTGGACGTTTTATTTACCTGGAGCGTTCACAGGCACAGAGCCCCTCAGCTCCCAGTGTCTGCGGTTTGCCTTTTCCAGCCAATGGGCTGGGAACGGCAAACCACAGCCACAGGGAGCCGAGGGGCTCCATGCCTGCAGACGCTCAAGGTAAACAAAATGACAATGTATTAGATATTCAATTCAATGATTCCATAAAGTTTAAAATCATCAAATTTTGGTGTAGACGAGTATATGCAGTAGGGTTTGTAATGACCCAACCACTCTCAGTCTTTATTCAGGCCTAGTCTGATGATATCTAGTTTGCAAATTAATTCCAGTTCTGCAACTTCATGTCAAATCTGACATCAGGAATCATAACATTCAAAAACTGTAGGAGAACACTTCAGTCTCTCTGGTCACTCAGTAACGGACCTCAAAGTGGCAATTCTTCAACAAAAAAACTTCAAAAACAGACTCCAACGTGAAGCTGCAGAACTGGAATTAATTTGCAAATTAGATACCATCAGACTAGGCCTGAATAAAGACTGGGAGTGGTTGGGTCATTACAAAACCTAAACTTAATTTCCCCAATACTAATTCATCTCCACTGTTACTCACACCTTCTTGTCAACTGTCTGTAATAGGCCACTCTCCTACCACTTCAAAAGTTATTTTTCCTCCCTTGGTATCCTGCTGTTAATTGATTTATCTGGTTTGACTGACCTAACACTTGGTAAAGCACCCCCATCCTTTCATGTATTTATACCTGCTCCTGTATTTTTGACTTCATACATCTGATGAAGCTCACGAAAGCTTATGCCCAAATAAATTTGTTAGTCTCTAAGGTGCCACAAGGACTCCTTGTTTTTTTTTAAATATTCAGTTACTCTACCCTAGTTACTGTTCCTCAGTCTCAAAATTGAGTGTTTCTATAGGCAACAACTCAAGTGACTAAACTATAGATATTTAAGTAACATACCTATTGATGAAACATCATACTATGTAACACACACTTACTGGCCCACCTTTTAAATTACTTAGAGGTTTGACAGTAGTGACCACATCTGAGATGGAATGTTCATATAATGAATGCTTGCTTTAGGAAAGCGAGACAGTGCTCATAATGAAATCTTAATGTCTATGTCAGATTGCATACAGATATCCTAAAAGGATGGATATTTGAACAATCCATTAAGAAACTATAGAAATTATAGATAGAGATAATCCATTCCTTGTTAAGAAGAAAGTTTCTATATGGCAGTTTCATAATGTATGGTATGTTTGAGAACAGTTTCACATCTTGGTTCATACTTGTATTCAAGAAGAATCCATCTTTGTTTCTACACTGATATGTATTATCTATTTTGTGGTAGTAAATACGTAGAAACAGTGTAAAGAGCCCAACTTTTATTTGGGTAATATATTGTGGATACAAATTGTTTCCACAAGAAAGACTCTTTTTTGAAAATCAGAGTCAAAATGATTTCATACAAACCCTTTGATTATTGTAATGTTAATGACCTACTAAAATCAATTATGACTGTACAGTTCTATATTTCAATGGTGTAAATATGTTTATAAACAATTACAATAATTTATATTCTGTTTGCCAAGAATAATATTCAATATTTATTTGTATTGTTTTCACAATGTTTTTCAGGGGCAGGAGTGTTAGAGGATAAAACAGAAGCCAGTAATGACACAGTGGTATCCAAGAGAAGAGTAAGACCTTATCTTTTAAAATACAAGCTTAAATGATCAATTCCCATTTCCTTTTTGATTAAAAAGCCACATGCAAGACATTTTTTCAAACTCATTTTTGAAATATTATGTCAGTTTAGCCACTGTCAACTATTTTTAGGCCCTCAAATTTTCATGTACTTGAAAAAATGATTCTTCTTGCCAAAGTTCAATCAAGCCTTTACTTTTTTTGGTAGGAGTAGTAAAAATATTATTTGCAACTGATACACTACTGCAATGATTCAGGTGTTTTATTCTCAAGTAATCTACAAGTGAATATTAAAAACAATTGTAATATGATTTCAGTCATGTGTTTTAGAGCCAATAAGGTGAAATTAAAGCTTCTGGCTGGTACTTTTATGTCTGTTTTATAGGTTTCATCGTATCATGGAAATGTTGGACTGGAAGGGAGCTTGAGAGGTCATCCATTCCAGACCTCTGTGCTGAGGCAGGACCAAATAAACTTAGACCATCCCTGACAGGTGTTCATACAACCTGTTCTTAAAAACCTCCAATTATGGAGATTACACAACCTCACTTGGAAGCCTATTACAGAGCTTAGCGACCCTTATAGTTAGGAAAACCTTTCAAATATCTACCTAGAGAGATTTTCCTTGGTGCCGATTAAGTCTGTTACTTCTTTTACTACCTTCAGTGGACATGGAGAATAATGGATCATCCTCCTCTTTATAACAGCCCGTAATGTATTTGAAAGCTTTATCAGGCCCCCCCTCAGTCTTCTTTTCTCAAGAAGAAACATGCCCAATGTTTTAAACCTTTCCTCTAGGTTAGGTTTTCTAAGTCTTATAATTTTTGTTGCTCTTCTCTAGACTCTCCAATTTGTCTACATCTTTCCTGAAGTGTAGTGCCCAGAATTGGACACAGTACTCCAGCTGAGACTCACTAGTGCCAAGTAGAGCAGGACAGTTGCCTCCTGTGTATTAGGTACAACATGCATGTTCATACACCCCAGAATGATAGCCTGTTCCACAACTGCATCACATTGTTGACTCATTCAGTTTGTGATCCACTATAACCCTCAGATCCTTTTCAGCAGTATTACATCGTAGCCATTTATTCCCCATTTTGTAGTTGTGCATTTGATTCTCCTTCCCAACTTTGCACTTGTCTTATTGACAATCTTATTGATTTCAGACCAATTCTCTAATTTTTCAAGGTCCTTTTGAATTCTAATCCTGTCTTCCAACCATTCCCACCATGGTGTCATCTGCATATTTATAAGAATACTCTCTATTCTGTTGTCCATGTCATTAATGAAAATATTGACTAGTACTAACCCCTGCGGGACTCCACTAGATAAAACCTCTCAGTTTGACAGCAAACTATTGATAACTACCCTGAGTACAGTTTCAACCAATTGTGCACCCACATTACAATAATTTCATCTAGACCACATATGTACTCCCTTGTATATTTATTATTTGGAGTTACTTTCACCCGTTTGAGTTACATATGAATGTGTTCTAACAACTGGGATGTAAAGTTCCTTATTTATGTATACATATGCATGTTAAAATTGGTTATACTATGTGTTACAGGTTGCCTTTCTAGCATTTGATAAGTCTTTACTAAATGCTAGACAAATAAATCCCTAACAGTTCAAAGCAAAACACTGAAAAAAATTAAACAATGCTCTATGCATATGCCCTGCCTTCTTGCTACAAGCCCCACAATGTAGGCCTCCAAAGCCTCAGATTTGAGGCTAATAATTGTGGAAAACCCACTAGGTACAGTCAAATATAGATGGAGTTCATTTTTTTTAAAAGATCTAGAGTAGGTTTTAGAGACACTAGAATGCACAGGAACTCTCCTGTGCCTATCCGTGAGCCCTGATAATTCTCAGACAGACAATCAGATGTTTAAAGGCTAGATTTTTGTGAGAGTTGAACTCCCGTTTAGGTTATGGCTAGACTAGGAAAATAAATTGTGTTAAAAAATGTTACCTAACATGTTTTAACTATTTTCTTAATCTAGCTATGGCTTAAAGCTGTGAGCTATTAACATTTTCAAAAGAACTTAGTGCCCAACATTCCAGTCTTTTGGAAATCTGGTCACTTATTTTGGTGTCTATGGGTATGTCTAACCTGCAGTTGGAGGTGTGATTGCCGTGTGTGTAGTCATACTTGAGCTAGCTTTAATCTAGCTACCACAGGTACCACTAATAGTGAAGTGGTAGCAGCATGGGCAAGCTACCCAAGTAAGTATTCAGGGCCCTGGGCAGGCTTGTATAGATTACACTGAAGCACCTGCTCCTGTGGTTTCACTTCTATCGGTACCTCAGATAGCTAGGGTATGCCTATCTGTGCTGCAATCACACACTCCAACTGCAGGGTAGACACACTGACAGACACCAAAATAAGTGGCCAGATTTCCAAAAGACCAGAAGGTTGAGAGCTGAGCTCTCTTGAAATTATGGCTGTAAATCCAAGTGGTGAATTCTTTGGAAAATGTGTCCTTTAGTTTTCATTGTGTACAAGTCATGTTGCCATATTTAATTAAATTATATTTATTTATTATTTCGATTATATAAACTAATTAAAAGTGCACCCACCCAAAGCTCGAAGTGCCTTATCATATAAAATCATTGCTAGTAAAGTTTCCAGATGACACAGACATTGGTGGAGTGGTAAATAATGATGGGCACAGCTCAGTTATACAGATCTATCTCGATCGCTTGGAAAAGTGGGCTTTTTTGAACAATTTGTGTTTTAATGCAGCAAAATGCAAGGTCATACATTTATGAGGAGATAATATAGATCAGGCTTAAAGATGGAAGACAGAATCCTGGAATACAGTGACATTGAAAAGCACTTAGGAGTAACAGATAACCACCTGAACATGAGATCCCAGTGTGATGCAGTAGCTAAGATAATGAAGGTCATCTTTGTTCGTGTAAGCAGGAAAATACCAAGTAGGAGGCAGTGTCAGGATCCAAACAAAGGTAGTCAGGGCCAAGAATCAGAGCAGGGACACACCTGAGGCTGGGAGCAGAGGAGTTCATAGGTTCCAGGCCAGGGTCAGATTCCAAGCCAGGTTGCAGGATCCAAGTCAAGAGGCAAAGTTCAAATCAAGTCAAGGTCAAAGCCAGGCATTCAAGAACAGTCATGGCAGCTACAGGAAATTCACACTGTTTCCTGGACACTTCCTGGAATACCCCTTGAGTTTATATAGGGCAGGAAGCCAATCAGGAGCCATGAGGCTGCTGTCTGTCAAACCCTTGAGGTGGACCTACCCATGGTCTGTGTCCACAGTGGGTCACAGTGGCGAACAAATGGGTTACAGCTGCTGCTGGGTGGCAGGCAGGAGAGGTCAGCTGCCTGGTATCTCTGCAGGTCTGGGCTCTAGATCTGTGAGGACCTTATAATAGGGAGGTGGTACTACCTCTATAGATGGTATTAGCAGCATACAGTCTCCAGTTCTGGTTTCCATCCTCAGAAAAGATCTTGAAAAATTGTAAAGGGCTCAAAAAAAATCTTCAAGAATGATTTGCAGTCTGGAAAACATGCCTTATAATGAGAGACTTCAAAAGCTCAATTTATTTAGTATATCCAAGAGAAAGTTAAAAGGAGATTGGTAAGTATGTACAGGGGGAAGAGATGGCTCTGTATTTTAGCAGAAAAAGGCATAACACAATCCAGTGGTTAGAAAGTGAAGCTAAACAAATTCAGATTAGAGGTAAAATGCACATTTTTAACCAGGAGGATAATTAACCATTGGAACTTATTGAGAGATATGATATATTTTCTATTACTTTGTCTTTAAATCAAGAGTTGGTATCTTTCTAAAAGATATTCTATAACTCAAACAGAAGTTATGGGCTTGATGCAGAAACCATTGGGTTAGATTCTTTGGCCTGTATTACGCAGGAGGTCAGACTAAATGATCTGGGCTTAAAATCTATGAATTTAGCATATATTAAAAATACAGAAATAAGAACACTATCCTCCCCAAAAACCAGAAGAAAAATTCCACTCCATCATCAGATACTCATTTTCAATCCATACATTTTGGTCCTGAGCTCACCCTTTCCTCTTCAAGAGAGACAGGCCTTGCAGAGTAACAGATCTGATCTCTCTCTCTTCCATTTTGACAGAATGTAGAAGACAACTTATAGTTGTGGACTGCTGGATGTAGACATGCTAGAAAAAAATAATTTATTTTGCTAAAATGTTTTATAATACCAAGAATATGGAAACAGTTAAGTCTCCTTTTCTTTTAGACAACATAACTAGAGCTTGAGTCAATCCCTCATTCATTCCATCGTCAAATAAGTCACTTCATTTTTTCTGCACTAGGATACCTTTCTTGAAGATAATAAAAGTAGTGTGATATTCCTAATAACACTAGAGTCAACCTTTTGATTTCCTGTATGTTGAAACATAAGAGCCAAAATGCTGCATTTCTACTGCATGTGGGAACGCAGTCACTAGACAGTACAGGGAGATATTGGATTTCATAAGGTGATATACCTTGAATAAACGTAGGACTAAAAATGAAAGTTTGTTAAAGCTGGCAACTCAGGGTCTGCATTTCAAGCTCCATCAACATTCTCATCACTACCACCATTGCTAGAAACACTGAAATAATTTTGTCTGTATTTATACCACAATTGCTACTATGGTATTTGTGTTCCTGACAAATTTTTGTCAGATGGATCAATAAATTGCCTCTTTGAAGACTTTTAACACAAGATGGATTAATTAAAAATTTCTATTTCATTGATAGAAATGAAAATAGAAATTTTAACATAAGAGGTGGATAGTTTAGATTATCAAGTGGAGTCCATTAATATAGGACAAAACACCCTGAATAAAGATTGAAATAAACCAAAACAAACCTCCCCACCATTTAATGCAATTCTGATGGAAGTGATTTTCAGAACTAGATAAGAAGAAGAAACTTAAGAGTTCAATGAAGTTTCTGAATTATATAATACAGGAAATGTTTATTTTTAATGTATT